ACGGCACGTCTATTTGTTTTTTGTGATTTATACGTAAAAATTTCCAACTTTAAAAAGCAATACCTCAATAACTAAGCTACATTGGCGTAGAACGTAGTTGAAGATACTGCCTGTAAGATATCATCTTAGTATATGTAAATCACAGCTAACTCTTCACTTGTTTTCTTCTTTAAAGAATTTAAATGCCTTTACATTATTCATTAGTTCGAAAGTTCATACCTATTCATGCTCGTACAATGTACGTGCTATGGAGCACATTTATTCATTCATTGACTTAGTGGAATAGGCCACCAAAATGCTGAACACAATGGAATAGTTTGTGATGATTTATTGAAGAAATTGCGTGTCGATTTGAATTTTGCAAACAAACAAGTGCTATAATAAAACGTAAAAATTTCAAAGAGTAAAAATAAGAAAAAGTCAAACAATAAAATCAAAATAACTGATTGCTTATAGAACCTAAAATATTCAATTAACATTTCAATATTACTTATGGCTTTAAATTGCTTCAAATTTATGTAAATTTTTGAAAAATATTCGTAATTTAAAAGAACAGCAAAACTAATAAAATTTAACCGAAACTAGGTCAGGCGAAATTTTTCACCATTTTGTACAATCAATCATTTTTGCGACAGGCAAATAGGGAGTAGGCTTATACTTCCTCAACAGACTGATCAAGGGCTATATGGTCAATTTAATCCAAATGTCAAATTTCTGACTTGATACACAGAAGCAAATTGAAAGTATCTGGGATCTGTCTTTATAGGGCACTGAACCATATGACGGTATGGGACTAAGCTCAAACTACCCTGTAGTATCTCGAGTGTCTACCCTCGCTCGAAACATCAGAACACATGTTGTGTCTATGTCTATGAACACCTGCTGTGGCTATGTCCAGGGTTGTTCTGGTTTTGGGGTTCTCTTCTTTAACACACTCAGCGATAACTCCAGCAATAGCATTGGCTAGACTTTCGATTGAATGATAAATAAACTATAGACAATCCTAAATATTTCCCGCAAGACCATTCTTCCTAAAAGTTTCTAACCTCCAGATATACATTCGCTTATGAGAGCAAATATTAAATAGAGCTTTCAATGCATATATGATACATATCACAAGAATAGTTTTTATAAAAATATTCTCGAATTAATACAAATATTAATAAGAACTAGGCATAAATAATCGATTTTTTACACTAGTTAGTGAATTGAGATGAAAGAAATTGATTAAAACGGCCACCTTCAATGAAAGAAAATATAAGTGATTCTTCACGTCTTTTGCTCACACTTTTTATTTTGCTGACAGCTTCATGTAAGCTCAAAATTATAAATTATATGTTTTTATCAAAACAGTTGTGTTTTATACCATATGTCTTCGATAAAGTTTCAAGGTTTAATAACATAACATACATTCCTGATTTATTCACATACGTAACTTTTACAAATAAAACTTCACTAACACTTTGGAATATAAGAAAACCATGACAATACGACGCTAAGGAGCCTTGTGAATGCATTGGAACTGGGTCACATATAAATCATTGTTCATTTTTACTTGCAATAATGCAATTGCATAGATGCACCATGTCTTGTGGTGTAAGTTGCAGTTCAGACAATCATAGATGAATTTATATGTGGCTAAAAACTGTTTGACAGACTTACATACTTTCACTAGAGCTTCAAATATTATTTTAACTGTTCGAAGCTTCAATTAATTTGGAACAGAAAAATTATTGCTAATCGCAGTAACCTTTGCCCTTGAGAGTTACCAGGTGGTATTCTATTTTTAAACCGGGCTGCTAGGTTAGGTTAGGTTGTATCGGCGATGCAAAGAAATCCATTTTAGGTCCAAAGATTAAAATGCTATTTAATTGGGGATCTTGCAGTTGATCAAGATCCTTAAAAACGAGGCCCATGAAGTAGTAAGGCAACGCCGCGAATGTGCTGGATAAGAACAAAGCAGATTTTTATCGTCCTCTCCACAACTGCGACAGGCATAATTGAAAGGAAGAGTCAATCTACTAGCATGGTTTCCTAATATGAATGATTTGTGACTACACCTACCACAAGACTGATATCTCTACGGGGCATCTTAATGAGAGTATTAGACTTATTTTTAATAGAAGGTGGTTAATTTGAATACAGATACCTACATATCGTTAAATATTTCCATCTTTTATTGAAAAGTTCAGCACAGAAGGAACTCAGTAACAGTTTGCATAATGTTAGCGATAGACAAAGATTGTTTAGGTGTTCGAAGTGATTTCCTGAAGCATTCCATTTGGCTAGCTTAACTGCTTTGCAATTGCCGAAAATATGCCTATAACCGAGAACACAGATTAGAGAAATATTATTAAGAAAAGGGAGAGAGCACTGTGACCTAAAAGGTCTTTTGTACCTTAGAGTGGGCTTAGAGTGTTTCTCCAAGTCTGATTTTTTTAATAAAAAACAGTATAGAGCCTATCTTATCTAGCCTTGAATCTCTCGGGTCCATGAAATACCCTCCTAGGTGTTTCTTCTGATTGTACATCAGTGCAAGGCACTCCCCGAACACGTGGTATACAGTTTCTTTCTCTTCTTTACAGTATCTGCAGTTTGACTTGGATTGAATTCCTAACTTCGTTAGGTGATTATTCATTCAGCAGTGACTGGTCAATAATCCCGTAATAATTCTTTGATTATTTTTTGATTATTCTATACAATCTAGAGAAGCGTTTTAGGTTGTAAGTCCCTAAAAACATTTTAGATTGTCATAGTTTGTCTTAGTAGATTGTCTTGGTAGGCTTTCCCAATAGAGTTATCTTTCTATTTCTTTTGTAACGTTCTTAAGAATGGATAGTGTTCTTTTTGACTAGATCACAGAAAAGTTCTGCGCCTATCATTATTAAACCCGCGCCTCTTGTTGCAAGTTTGTCTGCCATTTCTTTGCTTTGGATACCAGGGAGACCAGGAATTCACATTTCTTTGCCTTGAATACCAGCGTGCTCAGGAATCCATTTGTTTGCCTTGAATACCAGCGTGCCCAGGAATCCATTTTTTTGCCTTGAATACCACCGTGCCCAGGAATTCACACCTGATTGTTCTAGCCGAGTATGAAATCCTACTATAATATACTCTAAAAATGTGCGTTCAAAAATCTTAAGAAATGTTTGGTCGCTATGTTTTAGACATTGATCATGAAACACTATACTACAAAATACAGGTTTAACTCTGGTATTGTCAGAGTGGAAATAGGTTTATGCGTGCCTTGCGGCCAACTGGATTAACATAACCTACTTTTATCTATTTGCTTTAAGATGTTGATATGATAGTTTCTATATAGACACTAATGTGTCTCGCATGCATTTTAAGTTTTGTGTGAAACATAATAACCGCAATTACACTGAGCGTAGGGAGTATGCAATTCCAACAAACCTAAAGGCAAGGTTAAAATTAAGACGTCATTTGGAACAGCGCAAAAATCTCACAAAGAAAAACTAAAAATCGTTATTATTTAACAAAAATAAAAAAAAAAGAAAATATAAGACACAAAATGAAAAAAGGTGAGGTTCGGTAGCGAAAGTAGCATAATTTGCGGTTTCCATTCATTGATGTCATTATGTTATTTTACACTGCAATATGAACCACTTGCTCGTTAAAAAAATTTTATTGAAATTTAAATTGCAAATTGGAATTACCTCTTTGAATTAATTACACAAAAAAAAAGATTGCCATTATGTGAGTAAATAAGCAAATGACTTGAGGACTCAGAAAAAAATTGGAACAAAACTTGAGATACTTTATTTCTGAATACTGGTATCAGTAAGCCACAATTCGATCGATTTTACTCTTTTTGCTGGCAAGTAGTCAAGGTAGAGTAAATAACAGAAAAAGGACCATAAAAGTCAAAGGGTAAATAAATTGAACCGTCGACTTTAGGCAGTTTTAATTAATCTTATTACATTGGCAGTGTGTTTTGATTTATCTTTAAATAAGAGTTTATTTTACTCGCAATTGAACCCTGAACTTTTTAAAAGACGTGATAAAAGAAAAATACATGCAAAATGTAATGAAAATAAAAAGCCAAATAACTGAAGGAAAAAGGGTCAATCAATTTTTATTTACATTTTCGCGGTCAAATGCATTTCGAGCTTGAAATGTGCCATAAAAGTGCAATTAAAAATTTTTTTTATTTTTCTTAACTTTAATTAAACTTTTTTCGTAATGTTAATAATAACAACAAGTTATTTATATTGCAATAAAATATAATTTATTTTTTTAAATAAAAAATTTTTATTACCTCTATGTGTCGAAGAAAACTTTGTAAATATTTTGTATTGGCAATTAGCCAATTATTTTTTATTTTATGCAAGCAAAAGAATATATTTCTCTTTAAATAAGATCTCAATGAGGTGAATAAACTAAATAACTCACGTGCATTTTTCAAAACTGCATTAGGTGTGAGTATCTGCTGGCAATTAAATTATCTAAATAAATTTCTTTAATTCTCACACTTGCAGATTCACATGGCGTATACGTAACATTAATAAATTAACGGAAAAATCAACACACACCAAAAAAGAAAGACCACATGAGACATGAGACATGAGACAGGCACCAGCTGTTAAAATTCACATCAGAACCGGTGCTGGAGAAACGTTCAGCAATAAATGCATTTCAATTGTGATTATCGTGACCATGACCTAAGCCATGACTAATGCCTTTGTATTAAAATTTCGAAGTGACTTTTTATTATGTATTGTACTTTATATTATTATTATATAACAAATGGTCTTTAAACAGAAAATTCCATTTTGAATATTTTATCTGCGACAAAACAATCTTTATGGAAAGCATTCCAGATAAGAAAATTAAATGGCTTATTTTTTATTTGACTTCAGCATTTTTATTTTTATTCATTTTTTGTTTATTTCTTATTAATTTCTTATTAATGATTATTTTTATTAATTTGTTGTATTTGTAAATAAAACATTTAAGTGCAAACTTAATTTGATTAATGATCAAAGTGTCAGGAAAATTAGTTCATTTATCAATTAAAAGCAGAAAGATTGTGACTATCATGACCGTCACTCATACAAAATGTTTGTTTACGTAAAACAAAGGAGGATATATGAACTGCTGAGTGACTTAATTAATTCGTATTAAGAAATTAAACAACAATATTATATGGATTATTTTTTTTTTTGTTTTTTTTTGCACTCAGTCACTAAATTACAATTAACAAAGGAAAACAAAGCATTATAACTCAATTTTATTAATTAAGGATTAAGGACAGAAAAGAGAACAGCATGAAAATATTTGTAAAAACAAAGTTAAAAGAATTTAACTGAAAACTGAGCTTGATTTAAAAAAAGTAAGTAACAGAATGTGGCATAAGTAAAGTGCGTTTACACTTTAACAATTAACGAACCTCAATTAGTGATAACTGCACAATTAAAATTAAGTGTTTATATTAGCGAAACAAAACAAAAAATTAAAAGAAATACAATTACCACCTTTTATAATTAAAAGCGGAAATCTACAGTAAACACTTTTCCAATTACCTGGTTTACTCCAATGCAAAAATTACTCACATTGACGAGTACGATTACCTTCGTGAAATTAAGTGTTTATACTAACACTATTCAATTAGCGAAATAAAACAAAAAATTAAGAGAAATTAAATTAATTATAACATAATTATAATTTATAATTAAAAGCGAAAACCAACAGTAAACACTTTTACAATTACCTAGTTTACTCCAATGCAAAAATTACTCACATTGACGAGTACGATTACCTTCGTGAAATTAAGTGTTTATACTAACACTATTCAATTAGCGAAATAAAACAAAAAATTAAGAGAAATTAAATTAATTATAACATAATTATAATTTATAATTTATAATTAAAAGCGAAAACCAACAGTAAACACTTTTACAATTACCTAGTTTACTCCAATGCAAAAATTACTCACATTGACGAGTACGATTACCTTCGTGAAATTAAGTGTTTATACTAACACTATTCAAGTTAGCGCAACAGAACAAAAAATTAAAGAATTAAATTAATTATATATAATTATAATTTATAATTAAAGCGAAAACCAACAGTAAACACTTTTACAATTACCTAGTTTACTCAATGTAAAAATTACTCACATTGACGAGTACGATTACTTCGTGAAATTAAATGTGTTATACTAACACTATTAATTAGCGAAACATAACAAAAAATTAAGAGAAATATAATTAAATATAATATAATTATAATTATAATATAATTATAATTATAATATAATTATATTATAATTTATTATTAATAGTGGACACTAACAGTAAACAGTTTTCCAATTACCTAGTTTACTCTAATGCAAAAATTACTCGCATTGACGAGTACGAATACGTTATTTTGCACGACGGTACCTTTTCGGATACATGATCCTTCTTCTGACACCCATCGCACTGAAACCTTAACTCTAAATTTGATTCAACTATGAAAGATCGACCTTTCAATACATCTCACTGGATTAAAACATTATGCACGTAGAGCAGTCTTTATAATTATTAGAAGGGACAAGATAAAATACAAGCTCTAGGATCGAAACCTCAAACAACTCTCCTAAGTATCCCTGCTGATTAACATCAGCGCGCTACTCATGGAACGACATCTGCACGGCTGTTCCAAATAGAATACGATTCAGAGGAATTGTTGAGGCCCTATACTCCACTGGGAGTTAACGGAACAAAGAAGAAGGATCCCTGCACAAAAAAATTTTTGACAATGTCTTTTGGTGACTGATCTTAACCTCATTTAGTTCAAGGAAAATCGAATGGGAGATTAGTTTTCGTTAACTAATTTTCGATCTGGGAGATTTTTTTAATCTAGTCTCAAGCAAAAATAAATCCACCAAGATTTATCCTCCAGAACCAAACCAGAATAAATAGGGTCGGAGGTCTAAGCCAGAGTTTCTCAAAGGCACCATTAACACTCTTACGGTACTATATTTTCGCCTTTAGCGATATTATTTTTTGGGAGCGTAGTAATCGTTCTGGTATTTTACTAAACATTTTATAATTTTGCGTACCTATATTGTAGTAATTCGTGATGTTTAATGTTTTGGATTTATGAATTTATTTGGATTTTTTAATTTTTTGAAAAAACTACGAAGGATCGAAAGATTGTTTATGTGCTTAGAAGGAAACAACTCACACCTTTAGCACCATTTTATAAAGTTATGGACTGAGTAGTATTTACTGGAAAATACATAGTAACGGAAGATAAGACATGTACTTCTTGAGGATCTTGGTCAATTACAAGATCTGAGACTAAATAGCATTTCAAGCTTCGCCAAAGGTTCTAGATGGTTTTAAACCCCAAATTTTCCTACATATACGGTAACACAATGAACCAATAGACCTAAATGTATCCACTAGGGATCGCCAGTATAACCTAACCTAACCTAGAGGAAAGAAAACTTTTAATTCCTTTTTCACTATTTTATTAGTTATTAACAGTGGAGTATTTAGGATAGATTTAGGAAATACATCGCTTTCCTTGAGAATATTGTATTATATTAGACAAAAATTTAGTGAACTGTAAAAATACTATCCTGGTTACGTCAATGGTTATTCATATTTTCAACAGTTCTGAAGGAAGAATTAGCGAATATGGTGATTCTCATTTTTTAATTTTATTTAAATAATTACCAAAAAGTCAAATTTCTGAAATCAAAACCCGTGGTTCTATTTTCAGAGCATTGAATGATTGACAACCAACAATTCTATGTTAATTACTGGATGTTCTAATTTATGAGTGTCCACGGTCTTATATTCTTTTCGTTATATTTTATTATAATTAAAATAAATAGTAAATATGTAGATGTGTGTGTGCGCATGTATTTCTTTTTTAATATAAATATATATAATTAATAATTAATATAAATATTGTAAATAACATAAATTTACTATAATTATGTTGAGGCTAATTCAGTCAGTGCACTTGAGCACTTTTACTCTTTATTAACGGCGAGGTTTCTTCATAATCCCTCTCTACTACTTGACTGAATTATTGTTTATCACTTCATCAGATTAAGCGATAATTGACCTCAGATCTGCTTCCCGAGGAGCCTGTAACCGTTTTGCAATTCGATAATGCGGTGTTTACATACACTATACATAAATCAAAGTGAAATCAGAGAAATTACATTATCTATAAATAAGTGTACTTAAACTAGACTTAGATGAAAAAATCGTAGAATTAGACAAGTAGGATACCTCCCATTCATTTGTGTAATATAAATTTTTTTTCTCTAACAAAATCGTTTTTTATTATAAGTTTGGCTAACGCTGGTGTGCCTAGAAGGCATAGAAAATGGAATAGTGTGAAATATTCACACTGAATAATTAAATATTGTGGTTTTTTGTATGGATTCCTTTGGTTAAGCACGCAAATTTATAGGGAGGATATGGTCACTTCTTCCATTGAATGGGTAGGTGTGTTGTTTGATTTTTATTGTAAATAAAACTATTAATTGATGTTGTTGTAATCGTTATGTTAACAAGTTTTAATGCAATTGTTTTGAATTTGTTTATATTTGTGCTTTATAAAGCAAAAATAAAAGAATAATAAAATGAACTTAATTATTAAGCAAATTAATCATATAACCACGCATTTAAAACAAAATTTGTTGACAACACACAAAAATACACGTAAAGCAATGAAGCACTTGGACTTACCACCAGCTTGCTTGATGCCAGCACTGTTTGGAGGTGTAATATTCGCACTACCAGCTCCAGCAGCGCCACCTGCTAACACACCGAGCGACTGGTTTGATGCTCCTATGGCTAGAGAAGTGTTACTCTGCATTTGCAATTGGCCAACAGCTGTAGTGGGTACACTGCTCGACTGTTGTCCGACTGCTGAGCCGCCTGGTGAAGACGATTCATTACCAGTACCAGCCCCTTGGTGTGAGTGGTGGTGCTGACGTTGGGCTGTACCAATAGTTGCAGAACTATTACTGCTGCCGTGTTGTCCATGAAAACTGCCGGACCCTGAACCAATGCGTATAGGTGTACTACTGACACCAATGTTAACATTTGTGGCAGTTGGCGTTGCTTGCGACATGTTTTTTTATATTTAATTTTTTTTTTGTTTTTTTTTTTTTGTATATCACAAAACTTTAGAATAAACGAATTTTTTTAAGATTTTTGTTAATAAGTGTTTTAAGAGTTTTAAGCTCACAGTTGTTTTTAAAAAATATTTTTCATTAAAAAAAAAAAAACTTTATTTAGCCAACAACGTGGTTATGCTAATTGTTATATTTTGTTTTGGTTTTTTCTCTTTTGTATTGATTTTACTAATAGTTTTCGCGTAGCTTACTTAACAACAAACATGCCCGTTTTTGGCCACTTGCCTTAATTTTTTTTTTCACTTTTGTTTTGTTTTCTTTTTATTTAAAGTGGAAAATATTCTACTTTTGCTTTACCGCTTAATTATGCACTTTGCTCTATGCCTCTAAAAACTTAATGTTGAGTCTTTGAACTTAGCAACTTTCATTAATTTTTTTAATTTTTTTTGTATGTAAAAAGTTATTTATTCTTTTTTATTTAGTTTATATTTAAAAATTTTTTTTTAGTAAATATTTCATATTTAAACAACTTAAAATTTATCTAATAAACTTTGAGAGAAATACACATCCACAGCCGAAGCAAGTCGAAAAAAGACTGAAAATACATCATCGAAGTGAACCCCATCAGTCCAGTAGCGAATTCCATAAAGCAAACTTTCGAGCTTTTGTCTTCACATATACGTCAACTGTTATAATGAAATTTAGGGTTAAAAAGAAAATGGGTAAAGGTTACAAAAACAATTAAACGTTGACAATTGATTTGGATATTTTTTAAATGATGAATTTGTTTGCTAAATATTTTTATAAACTTTAAAAAATTATTTATTTATAAAAAATATTAAAAATTAAACCTTACTTGCTTATTATGTGTATAAATAAATAAGTAATAATAAAATTATTTATTAAAAACGATAGAACTTATATGATTTCTAATTTATTTATTTAAATAATGTTTTAGTTTTATATACTAAAATTATAAAAAAAAGCCAAACAAACATTTTATTTACATAAATTATTTATACCATATATAAAAAATCTTTGGTTAAATTGTTTTTTTGTAGGGCGAAAATTGTAGTCATAAATATTTCGCTACTGCATTATAATGACCTCATCATTCGTAATCATATTATTCATCGAAATGTCAAATCCGGCTATAAAGTCCAAAACTTGTTTAACTAGCTTCAATATATTATATTGAAGTTTTTATTTGTTATCAGTTGTCGTTTTACTTTTAACATACATATTCGTTTAGAATTTTTATGTTTTCTTTTTACTTTTATTTTGTGCTGACATTTGCAATAACAAGAATTTATGCAGAGTTGCTCTTTATAGAGTGATTGGTAGCACTAAAATATAGATTGCTTGTTGCGTACAGTACAGCATAAAATTAAAACGTTAATTTATGCAAACAATTTTAAATAAATTATGATTAAATACATAAAAATTTGCTTATAAGACTATATTAATATTTATGAATTAAATAACAATTATTTGATTTAGAAACTTATAGCAAAACATATGAAACTTTAAATTTCTATCTAATATTTTGGATTATAGAATAAATTTTTTATTAAAGTAAAAATATAGAAATAAATCTTAATTTTTTATAATTATAATGCTAGTTATAATTCATATATAATGCTTATATATCAATTAGTGATAGAAGATAAAAAATACTTGAAGTTCCAATATAACGTTTGTAAGATTTTCTTCAATAAGACACAAAATATAACTAATCAAACAACAAATGGTGATCGGGTCTAAATCCCGGAGTCACTCTTTTGTACAGTGTACGTCTGTGCCGCTCATTTTCCATGAGTGATCCAAACAAAGTTGAACTTTTTGGGCATATATCGTTTATAAAACTGTTTAATAATGCTATCCATAGAATTGGGTGCCATTATTTGGATTGTATTTTTAGATTTTTCTTTGCTCGCTCTATATTATAAGAAATACATTACTGTGAAAATATGCAAACATTGAAGCATAAAGTCTGTAAGGGCCAACATAAGGAAAAGCAAAATGCTCCATCTGAGTTCTTTTCGAATATATGTAAATCGAAGTCATTTGTGAAATTAATCAAAATATTTAATTTCTTGATTTATCAGTAAGTCCGCACCAATGACGTAAGCAGAATTAAGACAAGGGGGAGCCGGACATTGTAGTAGAAATTATTTATTTACAGTACACTAAATTTTTCTATTATCTATTATACTGTCAAAGAGAGATACAACCCTAATCCCTCACTTACCCAACAAGCCCTAGTTCTAGCTTATTTTTTTCCACATAATCAACAATAAATAATTTATCAAAAATAGAAAACTTGACTTCTGAATTTTACATTAATTGCAGACGTATATAATTTTATTATTTTAAAAGAACAACTTTCTGATTAACTAAATATAAAAAACCAGTAATGCAAAAATCACGTAGTCATTATAAGGGATTTAACAAGCCCACACTCTCGAAAGTCTTGTTATTGCTTTCGCTTTAAGAAATTGTCCACGCAAATAACGTTTCACATTCTACAATTATTAAAATATATTACGTACCGCTGATGTCATTCTAACAAAGCCTTTTACATAGTTTACTAATTAATTTACTTTTTACTTTTCATTTTTAAATAATTTTTATACAGAAAGCAAAGATTGGTTAATATTTTATTTAATTTGCATGTTTTATTTGTAAAGTGCATAACATTACGGAAAATAATACCGCGCCTAATAAATGCATGATGCGTTCCCTATGCAAACTAACAATTTTTTTTTTTTTGTGATACAAAAATATGAAATCTTAACATAAATTAGGAGATAAAATAATTTTGTGATTTAAAATAATGCCTGTTCTGTCTTTTGTGGGTGCATTTGTGCCTTACATAAATATTTGTGAATACTTTAATACAATAAATAAAATGCATTTCACACCTTGTGCCTGCTGCAGGGAATTTTAATTACAACTAAATGAGTTTTAAAAACTTTTAAATTAAAGACACAACGGTGAGGTGAAGGTGTTACCTAACCAGTTTTGTGGCTTCGATGTTAATCATCGAAATCGATATCTGAATCATCAGAATCATAACCACTGCGTATTGTTTTTGTAGGACGATTGATATATGTTTTCTTCTTTTGATCTGGTGGTGTCAATAAATCACCTTTGTACTCAATTGCACCTGATTGTGCTATTCTCCATTCTAGCATTTCAGTTGAAAAATCATCACAATTACCCAAATCGGTAAAGCCAACAATAAAGTCCTTAGTTTTACTATCCTTAACAAGAGCAATTGTAGGTATAACCTTAATGCGTAAACGTTGCGTTAGGAATGGAGATTTTTCAGCGTTAACCTTACAGAATTTGGCCTCAATATGTTTGGTTGCCAGTGTTTTTAAATGCATATCAACAATACGGCAGCGTTCAGTGGAGTCGCGGTAGAAATGGCAGACAATGTTTGGCGATTTCTTGGATACTTCAAAGAACTCTTTTTCATCAGCAAGTTCATTATAAATACCATGTCCCTAAAATATATATATTACTAAGAGTGTCCATTATATATAGTCTTATACTTACATTTTTGAGCCACTCTTGCTTTTGCAGATTTTGTTGTTTCATTTCCTTTAGGCGTTGCTCACGTATTGTTTTCAGATCATCAGAATCCAAGTTTTCCAAGCGGTCTAACTGTTGATCCAACTGTTTTTCGATGACCTGCGCAGCAGTCATCAATTGGTTTTCTAACATGTTCGACATTATTGTTACTCTAAAGCGTGCAGGTGCGTCTCAACTTTAATTTAGTTTTGTTAAAGTTTTTCTCTGCAGTTTTTTCTTTACACCCACCGGTGAGAGACAGATGAATTTTAATAAGTCCAAAAATTATATGGTATTGAAAATATATACCAAGTGGTATAAATTTTTGAAAATATATTTAATCAAATTTTTGTACTGTTCAATCCAAATAAAAAAATTACTTTAATTTAATATATAAATAAACTTTCGTTAAACCAAATTGTACAACGCACACTGAGTGAGTAAGTCAACATGGTACGTTCAGTGATGCCAGATTTTTATGTTATTTTTTTTTATCACATGCGACTAATAGTACGTTCAAGCTGGTATCGATTTATTATAATAAATTGAGAAAATTAATTTTTTATAAAATAAGAGCACTTTATCTAAGCATATATTAATTTATTATAATTACTGAAATTATCAATGTACATTCTATACACACAATAATTTCACTTTTTAAAATTATGTTAATAAATTTTGCGTTTCTTATATATATTATGAAAGTGACACGATTTAACGTTCCCTATATAGATTATTGTATTTGTAATATGAATATAGTGTAATAATTCGGCTTCAATAACAATTGCATTGAATTTATCACAATTGAAAAAGAAGCCAAATGCATATATCCTTTTAAACGAAATTGCCTTTTAATATTTAAAGCAGTTTTTCAACAACACTAAAATTATAATCATTTATTTATTGGGGCGATGTTGTGTAGAGTACCATGAGCTCGTCAAAATTAGTTCTTTTGGGCTATCACAAAAGAAGAACACTGTTCTTCTAAAAGAACAACACTGCTTTACCTTAATGACGACGCACAGATAGCCTCGGCTCTCATGACCAAATATGAACTGACATATTGTTGTTTCTCTTGCGATTATTTTTTTGATTTGAATTGAAAACAAACACATTTTTGCTCATGACTAGCCCATGACGCTCTACAGAACATGGCCTTTGATGTATTATTATCGAGTCGAATTGTTTTAACTATTATTTCTGGCTCTAATTTTGCAGACTAATTGCAATTTGTGTAATGAATTACCGGGGTATGTTGCCTCACATATAACACTTTGCGTGGTGAAAAAAGTGTTTCAGAATAATGAACCTCATGAAAATTCGACTTAATATCGTTAAACCTGATATGGTAAGATGATCAACTATGATCAGATATTACAAATTACAATAATTTGTTAGTAAATGTAATGCATGTTTTATATTCATTTATATATACATATATCATTTAGTTAATATAATTATTAATAATTGTTCATAATGTTTAATGTTTTTCATTATATCCTATATCATAACAGAATAAATTTAGAATTAACTCGGTCTAAATTACTTACAACCTACAAATTGATGAAGTGATAAAATAACAAATATCTGATAAAAAATGAAATATGAGAACATATTTTATTTATTTAATTTTTTTTTTGTGCTATTCTGTAAATCCGCTATTAACATTAATTTCATATGGAATATTGATATGAAACTTAATATAAAAAAATATTTCATAAAATTTGGATATGGCTTGAAATTGATCTATCAAAACAGCTGATTTTGTTTATGTTTTGTTTTACATAAAATAAGAAATTAAGTGAGACAGTGAACTAAATAAAATCTATTTTGTTTTTGAAATTTGATTGCTATACTTCAAATTTTAAATTAAATTAATACTTTGTGCAACATTTCACAGTATAAGAATCAGCTAATATTTTCAAAAAAAATTATTAGATTTTATTATCTCGATAATGTTGGAATTTCATAACAACATATATATGTAGAACTTTCTTACTATACTAATTTACTGAACAGGTCTCAACTCCTCCTATATTATATATAATCACAGATTTATTTTGATAAATTATCATTGTTTTTGAGAAATTTTTTTGTATTTTTTATATAATGTCGCAACAAAATAAAAAGTTACCCAAAATAAAAAGGAATTTATCACAATAAACAGATCAGCCAGTTGGTGTTATATTTTTAGTTTCTAATATGTGATTTATATGCATATAGCTTCTCTACTCTAAATTTATTTGTTTACAAAATACATTTTTTTTAACTTCCCTGAAATACTTAATAATGCAACACTGTACCATGTCCTCGCTAATCGCTGTGATATGTCTCATTCGTTCGGTTGCATTGTTTAAAGTGCTGCGCGTTGTCTGTGTGTCCGCTTATTTGTTTGGTGAATTGCACAACAGTTTTTTAAACAAAAAATTATATTTTATTAAAGTGAATATAAAGTTTTAATTACAATCATACCAGGTCGGTTTATAGTTTAATTTTAATAGTATAATATATTTTCTGCTAGTTTTAAGGAATTTGCATTTATTTTGTGTTAGGGTAGGAATTGGTGTAGAGAAAAGAGCGATAAAGATAAAATTTTGCCGGGAAGCTGTAAAAATGCTTTTACATAAATTGATAAATGTGTATAAAATACTTATAAAATTATTGTTAAATAAAAAAAAAATTGGCATTTTATATATAAAATGTTTGATTTTAGAAGAGGTTTAAAATGTTTGCGCCAAAGTTAATTACATACGAAAATAGAAAAAAGTAGACTACATCAACCGCCATTTTTAAAAACGTTCGTTGGCGACTTTTCCCTATATTACAGTAGACGCTAAAAAAAAACACATTGTGTAGTCGTAATATATTTTTTATTTGTTTAATTAAATAATTTAACATAAAATATTTGATTAGTGTATGATTTGTTGCTATTGTATGATTTTTAAATTATTATTATTTAGAATTTGATTATCTTAAGTAATTAAATTGTTTTAATGTATACACTTTCCTTTTCTTTGTGTTATGTTCTTTACAGAATGTTCGCTTTTTTTTTTTTTCTTTTACGCTGTGTTCGGTTGTAGTAGTGAAATTATTTAGTTTTAAAATTGCTGTTAGTGCTGAGTACAAAAATTATGTAAAGGGATTGGTTGTGAATTGCAGATATATGTAAATTACTTATCACAATATGATTTGTATGTATGTATCGTAATTTTCACAAATTATATTTTATCTCACTGTTAGAGGAGACGCCACATTAGAGGCATATCATCTTGTTTAGAAAATTGTATTTTATTTTATGAAGTATTTTAAGCGGTATTTTTCGTAAAGATCAATTTAATACAAATATTTTTCAATAAAAGGTAATAATACATAGTTATTATACCGTAAATAAACTATTGGTGTTCTTTAGTTGAATAAAAAAATACTTAATTTTTCTCTTTAAATTGTGTACAAAATAAATGAAATTTTTTTTATGCTGTGTACGAAAAATATTTACGTGCCGATAATGTGTAAAGAAAATAGAATGAAGAGGTCTTGCATTTGTTGTTGTTGTTGTTGTTTTTGTTTCTGGTTATTGCACATAAAACTTGCTTTATTTTTGTTTAGTTTTCTCGTCTGCATTTTCTTTGTTTTTATTTTTGAATGCACACAGCTTGTGCATTGCTTTTATTTATTTTTTTTTTTTAAATATAAATTTTTGCTTCGCGCTAAAATAATTGGTGTGCATGTTTAGTTCTTTTCATGTTAAATTGAGGGAAATAGTAAATTATGTCGGTATGGCAGCGAATGTTGGTATTTACCAGAATTTCGAGTAGGGTAAATTAGTTAAAAATTAGGTAAATTAGATGTTGCCATTGTAAAAATTTTATAAGATGTTTAATAAATAAATTATTAAATTTGAAAACTTTTAATCAAAAATAATAAATAATTGCAATAAATAAATATTAACATAAGTGCAGTGGAAAAATTTACTTTTCAATTTCCTTTACCTCAATTTACTCGAACACGGCCAAAGTATTATATTATATTAAAATGGTTAAAGAATTTTTCATGTACAATATAAATATTATTAATTATATTTATTTATTTCAAATAGTTATTATACTTGAAATTAATAATTAATTGAATTTAGTTCTATAGGTAATAAGAACATTTTTTATAGAATAATGGAAAAAATGTATTATAGGAACACATTTGTATATTACTGTAATTCAACAGTAACTTCCCATCATTAAGGAGTCTTTAATAACAATACCTAGCGCCATCTATGTAATTTTTATTATTGATGGAGTTGTTCTTATTTTTGTTAACTTTGAGAAATGTTTATTTCCAGGTTTAATTGTAAACATATTTTAAGAAGTTTTTGGAACTCTTCGAGTTTTTGTTGTTTCTATTTGATTCTTTAGTTAATTTAAATTTTCGTCTGCATATTTGAGTGCTAAGGTTAGCATTGTCTGCATGCATGAATGGTATGAAGGGGGTTTCACTTCATTTAAATCCGCCATTAACAAATCCTGAAGAGGATAAATATATCAATATATATATATGTATATTATATATTCTTGTCTACGTATTGTATAATTATTTTAAATGAAAAATTATAAATTTATATTGTTTACATCTTGTTTTTGTTTGAAATTTGTTTTGATTCATAGTTTTATTTTCTTCTTTGTTTTTATTTAAACTGTATTAATTATTGAAATTTCTTAGTCGAATTTGCTAAGCTGACAACCTTAAAAATAAGTAACGCTTATCTTGCGGCTTTATTACTATCACTAATTCCTACACTTATGGATGTAAACTCGAAAATGAATTAAGTACCATATTCTAAACGTACTATATATTACCCAATGGGCCTATTTACACTATCATAAACGTGAGATGAACTTGACGACAACATGAACTGTCAGTTCAGTTTACACTATCATGAACTCTCATGAGCGTGAAATTTGTTTTGTTTTATGTAAACGTATAAAATGCTTGTGTGTAGTAGTGCAGAGCACAGAAATTGAGAGTATTCAGTATTAAAAGCACGGTTGCCACTTGAAAATTTTATTCTGTACCAAAATTGGTTTAAAAAGGTACCATTTCTGTAAAAAAAGGTCCAAAATTTTTCTATTTTTGTCTTTTTATATGGAAAATACAAAATATAAAATGTACAAAAAGTATAAAACAATAAAATATCCACAATAAAGTTGGGTCGCCAAAAATGTACCATTTTTTTAACATGAGTACCAAAGTACCAAACGGAAAAAAAAGTACCAATTTTGGTACTAAAGTACCATAAGTGGCAACCGTGATTAAAAGGTAAACATAAACATTACATTGCTTATGTATGCGTGTCAAACTGAAGAAACGCAACAAATTTCATTGCTTGAAATTTATGAATTCACATCACACTCTCTTCCCTCTCTCATCTATAAATAACCGGTTTTCAAGTTCATGTTCATGTTACGTTAATGATAGTGTAAATCGGCCCAATACATGTATAAATGCATTCTTCTTTCTCTTTCTTACACACATATTTTATACAAACACATTTTGTATTAACAAATTCAAGTTTTGTGACCAAAATATATCTACCGAGATTAATCCTCAAAAAGTAATCGAACTTGCCACCATATTTACTATACCGCATTCTTAAGATTTACAATATCGTATACACTATTGAAACGTTGTATCTTAAATGCTTATAATAAACCCAATTGGTATGCGTCTAAAGGTTTTCTTTTTTTGTTTTCATAATAAATTCTCAAAAAATTAAACAAAATTACAATTCGGAAATAGTGTTGTTATGCTTCAATAATTTTAATATAAACAATTGACACTCCCTAGATTTGTTTGTTTGTTGTTGTAGTTAATGATTTCGTCGTCTTCCAAAAACAAAAAATTACAACAAAAAAAACATTAACACCAAAAGTATCTGACGCTACCGATCAAAATTTTTAAATTGTGTACTTTGAACGTTTAGATTTGAATACTGCATTCAAAGTAGTTTTCCCTTGCTCCTCGCTTCATATAGGAAACATAATTATTCTTATATATATGTATATATATTGTGGTTGTACATATAGCGATTGTATCTGAAAACTTTTTAAGGGCTATTTAAAGAACATTTTGAACTTTGTGAGTATTTTACATTAGATTGTTGCTATCTTTGCAGTAGATAGTGTTTGCGAGTATGAAAAATGTATACTTCGAAGACTTGCTGGGTGCTTACGGGTCCAGCAAAGGATTGTTCATTTAAAGACACTAACATGCAGATGAAATTTTAATTAAAACAATTAAAGATTTTTAAACTAAAGAGAGTGTGTATTTGCTTATGTATATAAATATACAGGGTATTTTTTTTGTTTAATATCTTAAGAAAATGATTTCTTGGTCAAAAAAACTACGAAAATGTGGTGAACCATTTTTGGACACTATGCCGTGGGCCTACTTTTGACTTCTTATGGAAGTCAATGAATGAATTTTTTTTTTCTCATTCTCATTTATCTTCAACAAATTAGTATGGAATAATGCCCAAAGCACTTTTAAACTACAGTAGCTAGAAATGTCAAAAATGAAGTTGAGAAAATGCATTTCTTCAATACTGCATACGATCTAGCTGCAGTCTAGTGCTACTGTATTCTGTATGTTTGTACTATGCAGTGAGAGTCGTCAGCTACTATAATGAGAGACTCTAGTTTAATCGCGTGTTGGGTATGAAGACTTTTCTTTGACGTTTTTTATATTAAATGTTAACTGCTCTTTTGAACAGTGTTGTTTAATCATATCTAATGAATGCAATGTAGTTGATTTGAATTGCATATTTTAATTTGTGGAATGCAGCTGCACTGCAATTACATTTAAAATTTTATCAATGTATCTACACTTTGAAATCTATCTTCCAGTAAAACTTTAAAGCATTATCTTAATTATTGTTATTAAATTTGCTTTTTGATATGTAATAGACAGACAGTACTGACAACTTGTACACGCCTTAATGTTTAGATTTTTCAAATATACTTTGGCCTATGTTAGATTTCCCTCCTTTTCTATGATGATACATGGGTTACTTTCACCTTAAATTATTTTGTGGCATATCTGATAAAGTTTATAAAAGACAAGTTTCTGTTTGCCCGCAAAACACATTTTTTTTTGCTGACAATTTGTAGACACCTTGATTTACTCTTTTTATTAGTTTTTTTTTTTGTATCTTTACGAATTATTTCATTGACTTGAAAATTTATTTATTTGAAAACGTGTTTATTAGCTAAAGATTGCAAACTACAAACTGCAATTGAAAGAAAATCTGTACTTTGTAGATTTCACAATGTGTGTAGGTATTTTTCAAAGTGAACTATTGAAGTGTAACAAAAACAATAGAATATAATATAAGATTAGTTAATATTGATACTTAATAGTCAGTAAAATTTATATATACAATATTTATATATACAACATTTATATAAACAATATTTATATATACAATATTTATATATACAATA